TACTTTATTCATAAGGTACTATGCTGAGGAAATACAAAGATGAACAAAATTGTCTTTAAAGATCACTATGGGCCTTTAGAAGGTGCTGACAGTTAATCCATTGAGATAAATTACTGCCTAAAATACCTTCTTCATCCAGAAATTGAAAAAAAGTTATTTTAAAAAAGTGATAAATCTCCTGGATGGAATGTGTTTAAATCTCATGCTGATAGGCAGTGTGAAATGGCTATCCATTAATGAACCAAAGCGGTGTCTGACAAATGTATCTACTTGCAGATCATAAACCATTGTCTGCACCACCACACATGTAAAGATACTAACATACACATTGGTAAGAAACAATGAATAGATAAGCAATTATGTAGCTATTCTCCAACTATCAATAGTTTAAAAGCACTGTGATTCAGGAGAGTAGAATATGAGGGGAATGAAAGCTCTATATATTAACTAGACACATCAATTAAACATAAATTTTGCCTCATTTTTCCTTCTAGGTTGCTTATGAAATATATATATATATACATATATATGTTATCTATATACAAATATATATACATATATAAGTTATATATAGGTACCATATCTATAATCTCTATATATATATGCAATCGATAATGCATATATAAATATATATTATATATTCATATACTGTGTGAGCTTTCTAGCTCTGTACTTGTGTCGCTGTTATGGACTTTATATTTTTCTTTATAGTTCAATATATATACAATCTTTATCTAGCATCCAGCATAGTGCCTTGCACAGAGTAGGTTTTCCAATAATTCTTTTAAAAGTTGAATCCATAACCTTTTATAATGTCAAAAACTCATCATGGGGAGGGTGGAAACAACTCACTCGTGTGGCTTTCAAAGGTTCTTAATCAATAAGCTCTGTTTAAAGATAAAATGTATTTGGCGCTTTACTATAAAAAATCAAATAAATAAGAGAAGAATTTCTCTGCTTAGACCAGGGTTAGACAATTGGAACCCCTTCACACATCACACAACTCAAAACTTCAACAGAGCACAGCTTGAAAGCCATTGGCCAAACTCCCACTCTTCACTTCCACAAGT